AAAATTTAAAATTATTTTCACAAAAACTCTTTTCGTTAATCTTTAGTTTAACAATTGATGATTTTATATAAATAAATAAATTTCAAATTAAAAAGTTAGTCTTGGTCATTTGCATAAATTAAAAATTTATAAATGAAATCATTAATTTTTAGACGACCAATCAATAAAAAAGAGTTTTATGATCTTAAAATCTTATAGGGTGTTTGCGTAATTTATAAAATCTTAAACAAAGACTTCAGGGGTGTTAATTTAAATAACAAATTCAGGTATTGTTTTTGTTAGAGTCACTGTAGGAGGTATCCGTCTGTGCCTCCAGGACCTACCAAATTTGTCTTGTTATTTTTTTGGAATTAATGTGGTTGGTAGCAATAGTTCTGCTAATCTACCCACCCACCACCAGACCCACGAGAAGTACATGCTTTTACATGTGTTTTTTCGGGAGAAACCTGAAAAAGAAAAAAGAAGATAGGATTATTCGCAGCAATGGTCCCTCAACTATACTCCAAATTACACTTTGGTCACTCAACTTAAATATTAGTTGCAGAGGTCACTCAATTAGGTGTTTTGTTGCACCGTTAGTCCTACCGTCAAGTCTCTCTAACGGTAGGGACTAATGGTACAACACAACACCTAATTGAGTGACCAAAATGCAACTCCGAGTATAGTTGAGGGATCATTGCTACAAATAATCTTAATTGAAAAGTCACATTTGCCCATCAATAATCTAAGAGATGCTTGCCACATCATCATTTTAAACAGAAAAAATAATAGACTTGACGGTGGGACTAAAGGTGCAACAAAACACTTAATTGAGTGACCTTTGCAATTAATATTTGAGTTGAGTGACCAAAGTGTAACTTGGGGTATAATTGAGGGACCATTGCTACGAATACCCCAAGAAGATAACTAATTCACGAAATAACATTTTAATTTTCGTATCCACCTATTTCCCAGAATTTAAACCTGAAAATTCCCTCAATAAAAGGAAGAAAAAAAAAAGAAAAGAAAAAAAATTTCTACAGTAAGATGGTAGGTTTGTGTCCTACTCAGATTTTGACTTGAATTGATTTGATTATGCATCTCTTGTCTGGACCCACAGACCAGAATTGAATTAGTGTTGAGCCGGGCCACACTTGCCCAACTACCCGCAAATCTTACCTAATTGCACGCTTGTTTTTTTCTTATATGAAAATAAGCTACAACATTACCTAGCCAAAAAATGAAAAGACATAATCGTCCTGCCACAAAGTAGAGGTGGGCATCAATCTGATCGATTCGAACCGTAATGATCGGTTATGTTTGGTTTTAACCTAGAAAAAAGTCAAATGATTTCAACGAATCTCATTGTAATTGTTTGGTTTTTGACTTTTGCAAACCAATTTAAGCCGAACTCGACCATCTTTTTGTATTTTTATTTTATTTTATTTTACATGTTGAAACTGAAGTTTGATGGAACTTTGAAGTTATTGATATTTGAATTGTAAATATATTAGCTATTTAACTTTGAAGTTTAATAGCATGTCGAATTTTAGGATGGTTTGATACATTAGAAAATGAAAAAAATATGTAGCATACCATGAATCTTCGTTGTTGTAATTGAGCTAACAAAATTAAAAAACTAAAGGTCCTTATTGGGCTGGGCTGGCCTGAAATTTTTGGGTTTATGGTGGTCTAATGTCGGGGCTATCAAGCTTTTGTGTTTTTTCAGGTTGAGTCGGGTCGGGCTAAGGTTTCAAATGTCTAAGCCTAGGCCCTCCAACTAGGCCGAGGCCTAGGTCAGCTTGGCGGAGCGGTCTAGACTAGACCGGGTCAAACATGGGCCTAGATGGATCAGGCTTTTTTTTTTCTTCTCAAGAGGTTGGATTTGGATGTGGAGTTGTAGTTCTAGTCTTATAACTTTTTGTTACAAAATTTAAGACAACATGGAACAAATTAACTTAATTCATAAATGTGTAAAACAAAATAAGAGGTTTATTAATTCATCTTTTATATTACATTATTTTAATTATGTCTAGAGTAAGTTTTTTTTTTGGTCAAGTGTCTAGAGTAAGTTTAGGGAGTGCACGTTGATGTGGGTCTATAGTTCAATGCCTTTTTTTTATAACTTTTTGTTACAAATTTTTTAACAACATTGAAAAAATTAACTTAATTCTTCCCTAATAAAAAAACAAATGGAACACTGCGACATATGTTGATATCCAAAAGTTGTATTATAAGGTGTTGTCTCTTGTAGCACTTAAAAGAGTAAGGCTAATCTCACAACGATAACCAACATCATCGGAAAATCAACCACACGTGTACTTCATTTGGTTTTTGAATTACAAAATAATATTACAAAGAGAATCCTTGAGCGATTCCAATATTCCTTTGATCAAACAACAACCTCATAGTCATGCCTTTTGGGAAAATTAGTAAACCATAAACAAAGATGTTGTTTATGTTGAAGCAAATTAGCAAGAGCATCAACGATCATATTTGCTTCACGATACACATGTCGAACATTAGAAATCTGTAGTTGTTGACAATGGCGGATCCATGAATTTTTCTTGGAGTATGCAACTTTTTTTTTTGGATGAGAGATCTATATAAAGAATGAGAACCAATTTTTTCTTTTTTGTATGCTAATTAATACAGTGAGAACCGCGTGGGAAGCATAAACACAAACAAAAGTACAATTCGTAGCAGTAGCATATCCAAAAAATTTAAATTGAGGCATAAACACTAAAACTTTGTTGCAGTTGCAGATCTGGATATGAACTTGCAAATAGGAAGAAGAAGAAGAAGAAGAGAGAAGAAAACAAAAAGAAAAGAGAGAAGAAAGAGAAAGAGGGGAGAAACAAGGAATTGATAGTCATGTTGAATATCTACCCCTCTCTCTCTCTCTCTCTCTCTTATTTTTCCTTCTTCTTCCTCTCTTCCTCTTTTCTTTCTTCTCAGTCGGATGATTTCTTGTCCATGGCGGGCTGATTATTTGATTGGTCTGGATTTAGCTTATACACTAAGCCTAGTCTCAAAGTCAGCATTGTGCTGGAGCATACCCTAGCCACCCCTAATTCCGCCCTTGGTTGTTGAAGATGATATGTTGAAAAATAGTGGGGAAAAAAAAAAGTAAATTTGAAACTGTAATCAGCGTAATTTTGTTTTTATAAGTCTATAATTTGGGTCACCTTTGATAATTAGAAAACTACCAAAAGATTGATATAATGTTTACTTATCTAGAATTAATATTGGAATTATTTTGATTCCTAACTTATTCGTGTTTATTAATACAAACAAAATAAAATAAAATAAAAGTATGTGAATTTTACATTACAATTCATAATCTAATACATGAAAACCCAATAATTAAATTGAATAGGGAGGTAGTTTATCTCATATCCTATCTTTCTTTCTCTTATTCGCAACTTCACCCATTCCAAATAAACTTGCAATGAATTCAAAACAAGGGCGGTCCAACGCCTGGGGCATTGATGCTTTCTAATCTACTCTAGAGTTTGATTAAGAATGAATTATAATTTGAGGATTTTGTTGAAATTAATTAGGTTTTTTATTTTAGGAATTTTTTTGAGATGTTTGATTTTATATTGGTATTGTTGAGATGGTTGATTTGTTGTTGTATGTTAATGTTTGATTAAAGGCATTGATGTTATTATGAGAGTTTATTTGATTTTTGGTTGGGTTTTTAATGTAAGTTTCATCCAATCGGGTTTGGAATTTTGGATCCGCCACTGGTTCAAAACTAACAAACTATACTTAAGTAAAGGGCTTGTAGCTTGTTCAAGTAGTCAGAAGCAATTAGGCCATCTCCAACAATGGGCTAAATCCTCAAATTTAGACCTTTCAGACCCAAAACTCATCTCCAGGAAGTGGGCTAAATATGCCATGTCAGCAGGCCAAAATGGTCAAATGTGGCATACTTCTTGGGTGAGCTATATCTTATTTTATTATTTCTTAGGTGGGCCAGTTGTTGTTTTTAAATTAATCTTATCCTATCTGAAAATATTTTTCTTTTCTAAAATCCTATCCAAAAATATTTTTCTCTTCTAAAATAAATTTTAAATAGGGTATAAAATAGTACTTTAATTAAATTATCCAATATATTTAAAAAAATATACTAAAAACTAAGAAAATATTGAAGGAGATATGATTTAGACTTGCACTGCTGGAGATGGTAAAAATATAGCCCAACACTATTCCTTAAAAAATTATGAATGATGGGCTAAATTTTATGGGTGGGCTATATTTCGCCCTCTACTATTATAGATGGCCTTACCCCTTCACTCAAGGTCCTATATTTGAATCTCCTCTTCTTCAATAACGCTTGTAAAAAAAAAATTAGACAGAAAGCAAAAAATAATTATTTTTTGTTGAGTTCAAAACCATGTTAACCAGTAATCACAATGTTGTCAGCCAGCCAATAACAGATCAAAGTACAGATCTGGGTGCAAACTACAATCAGCCTCTGTCATGTACCAGTATTATAAAAGAAAGGAAACACACAACTTGAATAGAACATCCTCTCCTTTGGTATGAGAAACTTTGCACTGCACCTAAGACATTGTCAGAAGAAGATTACCAAGACACAAGCCCTCAACTTCTCCGCCTTTGCGTGCCCTGTTTTTCAGTCACAAGACCCATGTCTTCCAATCCAAAACCTCCAAAGCAGAAGGCGGGCATTGGTCAACCTCTTACAACTACGCTTTTCAGACCAACCCATTTGGTACGACAAGAGAATGCATGCCCAGGTTGTCGTATCGGGCTTTCAAGATGATGTTTTTCTTGCTAATCTTCTATTGCACTCTTACACAAAATCTGACTCTATTGTTTACGCGCGGAAACTGTTTGATAAAATGCCGGAAAAGAACTCAGTTACTTGGTCCTCTATGGTTTCTATGTATACCAAGCATGGTAATGACGAAGAAGCATTGGTGATGTTTTCAGAGTTCTGCCGGAATTCCGATGGGAAGCCGAATGAGTATACTTTAGCTAGTGTTATTCGGGCTTGTACGCGATTGGGAGGGGTTGATCAAGGTGCTCAAGTGCATAGTTTTGTTGTGAAGACTGGTTTTGATCAGGAAGTTTATGTGGGTACTTCTTTAGTCGATTTTTACTCAAAAAATGGTGATATAGAAGAAGCAAAACTAATTTTTGATGGTTTAAAAGTTAAAAGTGCAGTTACTTGGACTATCATGATAGCAGGGTATGCAAGATGTGGAAGAAGTGAAGTGTCTTTGAAACTGTTCAACCAAATGAGAGACACTGACGTTCTTCCTGATAAATATGTGATTTCTAGTCTTCTGATTGCATGTTCTGCGCTCAAGTTCATTGGAGGTGGCAAGCAAATCCATGCTTATGTGCTTAGAAGGGGAACAGTAATGGATGTTTCAGTGGTTAATGTACTCGTAGATTTCTACACAAAGTGCGGTGAAGTGCAGGCAGGACGGAAACTATTCAATACAATAGTAGTCAAGGACCTCATTTCATGGACCACAATGATAGCTGGGTATATGCAAAACTCATTTAACCGGGAGGCCGTTAAGCTATTTTCTGAAATGGCCAGATTGGGTTGGAAGCTAGATGGATTTGGGTGCAGTAGTATTCTTACTTCGTGTGCTTCACTTGAGGCCCTTAATCATGGGAGAGAAGTGCACGCTTATGCTATCAGAGTTAATCTTGTTTATGAAGATTATGTGAAGAATAGTTTGATTGATATGTATGCAAAATGTGATTCCCTTACTAATGCAAGAAGAGTTTTTGATTCAATGGCTGATCATAATGTGGTCTCTTACAATGCAATGATTGAAGGATACTCAAGACAGGATGAGATGTCTGAAGCGCTGGATCTTTTCAATGAGATGAGGATTAGATTGCTCCACCCGAGTCTCTTGACATTCGTTAGCCTTCTTGGTGTCTCAGCTGCTTTATTTACATTGGAATTGAGCAAGCAAATCCATGGTCTGGTCACCAAATATGGGTACTGTTTGGACGTATTTGCTGGCAGTGCTCTCATAGATGTTTATTCTAAGTGCTCATGTATTAGTGATGCCAGACTTGTATTCGAGGAGATGAATGAGAAAGACATTGTAGTGTGGAATGCGATGTTCTGCGGATACACCCAACAGCTGGAAAGTGAAGAGGCTCTCAAGTTATACTTGGAATTACAGTTATCAAGACAAAAACCCAATGAATTTACTTTTGCTGCCCTAGTCTCAGCTGCCAGTAACCTAGCAAGTATCCAGCATGGTCAACAGTTCCATAACCAGCTCATTAAGATGGGTCTTGACAGTGATCCATTTGTCACAAATGCCCTTGTGGATATGTATTCCAAGTGTGGAAGCATTGAAGAGGCTTGCAAAATATTTGATTCCAAAATTTGGAGTGATGTTGCCTGTTGGAATTCCATAATCTCAACATATGCCCAACATGGAGAAGCAGAACAAGCCCTTATTATGTTTGATAGAATGATGAAGGAGCAAATAAAACCCAACTTTATCACATTTGTGGGTGTGCTATCAGCTTGTAGCCATGCAGGCCTTGTGGAAGATGGACTTCGCCACTTTGAATCAATGCCTCAGTTTGGAATCGAACCAGGGACAGAGCATTATGCTTGCATAGTTTCTCTCCTGGGTCGTGCTGGTAAATTATTTGAAGCTAAGGAATTTATTATGAAAATGCCGATAAAACCAGAAGCGATTGTATGGAGGAGCTTGCTCAGTGCATGCACAGCTGCAGGCAACATTGAATTGGGGAGGTATGCAGCAGAGATGGCAATTTTGAGTGATCCAGTAGATAGTGGATCATATATCTTACTTTCAAATATTTATGCATCCAAAGGTTTGTGGGCTGATGTCAAGAGGGTGAGGGAAAAAATGGAATACAATGGGGTGGTGAAAGAAACTGGGTGTAGTTGGGTTGAAGCGAATAACGAAGTTCATACATTTGCTGCGAAAGATAGAACGCATCGCGAGACCGGTCTTATACTTTCAATTCTAGACAGTTTGATTCTACAGATGAAAGGGCTTGGTTATGTGCCTGACACTATGACACTTCTGATAAATGATTGAGGAGAAGCATGGTGGGATAATGCTAAGTGAAGCCAACATTATGAGCCCCTGATGAAACCAGGAAATGAAAATTTGCAGTGTGCATCTTGTTTGAGTGAAGGTTTGAGCTTGATAAGAGCTAAATCTTGGGCTTCTTCTAATTTGGGTGTTTTAGCTGGTGCATATGAACTGGTTTGTAGCCACTTCTTCTTGGCTTTTAACTGCAAAGGATTTGCCTTTGCCATCTCAGCTTAAGTGCTGTGATAGTGATGGTGGATTTTCTCTTGAGTTTGAAGTACAAGTCCCATTTAAGAAGCTGGTAAAGACATTATCACGGGACAGATAATCCTAAGAATTTTTTTATTCTTTTTATTGAAATGGGAGAGGAGATTTGAACTTGAGACATTTTTCAACAAACTAGAGAGAAATACCGCGAAATTTGGATCGAGATGACATGTACGTGTAAACAGAAAATCAATTCCAAATGTACATATGCATGAATGTTGTGAAAGCAAGCTAATGCATGTCTTCATTCTTATACAACATGAGAATGAAGAAATATTACAGGAAAATTGATTGAAAAATGCAATCTTCCAAACCCTCACCATTTTAAGGTTGCTATACTTTTTTTCTCTCTGTTTTCTTTTTGTTCCTCTCATGTGCTAACGAAAAGAAAGAAAAAACCACTTGTTAGAGAATTAAGCCTCTGCATCTACACTTGTATTTTCGCTTTGCGAATTTGCTTCAACCAGAGTTGCTAGACCAACAAGCGCTGAAATGTCCTAATCAAGACTGATTTGCAAGGGGATAACCTTGTATTCAAAGAACAATAGCTACAAGAACATCAGATTTTTCCTTTATCTTATCTAGTGGAGAGCAAAATATTTTCAACTTATGCATGTCTCCAACTTACATATTATAAATTCATACCAAGTATTTTTTTTAACAAACAAACTCACTCATGCTAAAAAGAAAAAAACTAAAAATAATTACATGAATTTTGTACCATTTAATTAATTAAAGATAAATGACCGCCAACATTTTTTCTAGCAACCTCCAACTCCAAGCCTTTTAAATTTCCTCTTGTTAGATTTTTATTGATTCCTTCATCGCGAGAAAACTATGTCGATTGCTATAATTGCAAGCGAGACGAGGAAAAACATGAGAATGAAAGGCCAAACCCGGACTTCCGATGCGTCTGGCACGACAACTATTTGCTTTTCTTGGCCAGTTTCTAGATCAAGAACAACATATTTTCCCGCACACATTTTTCTTTTCAATGTTAGAGGAGCGTCAAGCACGCAGTATATGTATATTGCTCATATCATGTCAAGAAATGGCGTGTTCAATTACAAGACTTGACAATTCTGGCCGGAGAAAATTGAATGTTCTATTTTTTTTGGTCTGGAAAATTGAAAATTCAGAAACCGGGATTTTGGACCGTAACTTTTTTTTTTTTTTTTCGTTGTGAAAAATCTCAAATTTTGGGGGAGCATTTTTGCTCACCACTTTAACTATAGGTGTACCCTCACCACCATCCTCAATGCTTGACACGTGTCCATAGATATAACCATAGTTAACTTTTGCTTTGTATTTATGGAATCATGATTATGTCTATGGACACGTGTCAAACATTGAGGATGATGGTGAGTGTACACCTTTGGTTAAAGTGGTGAGTAAAAATGCACCCAAATTTTGGCCCAAGTCAAGGGAGAATCCCGCATCCGATCCCCAATTCTTGACTTTGGGGAATTTTGGGCAGACTGGTTTTTGGGGGGGGTATTTGGCCCAGCTGTCCAGTCTGGGCGGAAAATTTGTAGGCCCCAAGTTGAAGGCAAGTTTCAGCACGTGAAGGAAAGCAAGAGAAACTGCAGAGGTGGGTCAGCCATTTCGGCTACTTGAAGGGAAAGTTGCTAATGCGTTGCGCAAGATGGGCTTGTAGTCGTTGTCATCTAATGGCTGCAATTCAAACAACCAAATTGATTTTTTATTTATTTCAAATGTAATGGCTAGTTTAAGCCAACGGCCACAATTAAAAAGTGACTTGACCAACGAGAAAACAAATAATTCAACGGCTGAAATTAAAATTCAACAGCTAAAATAAATAAATAAAATATTCTAAATCAGATGAAGACTCACCTGGTTTTGAGGTTGAGGGGAGAGACTATGATTAACGTGAAGACTCTTACCGGGAAAGAAATTGAGATCGACATCGAACCAAATGATACCATTGACCAGATCAAGGAAAAGGTTTAGGAGAAAGAGGGAATCTCCCCCCCTGTGCAACAGAGGTATGCTTCGTTATATTCAATGTAATAACAATATCATATAATAAATTAACTAAACAATTGAGAACTCAAGGATAATTTATCAAAAATAGCCAAAACTTGACCCCTAATTTTAAAAATGTCAATTTTTTTTGTAAAATATTTCAAATATAGCCAAAAACTCACCTAAATAAACACAAATGCCCTCAAATTTAAAACCCACATAAACCTGAAAAAGAAACTTTATTAAATAAAACTTTGGAATATTTTTAACCCACATTTGTATATAAGAACAGAAGTTGATTTAGTGTCATATGTATTTAAAATATAATATATATTTTTAAATAATTTAAAATTCATAAAATTTAAAAAAGAAAACCAAAATTTTATGAATTTTAAATGAAAAAATCAAAAAATCGCAGGGACCATTTGTGATAAGTGCGTGAACCTCAGAGATGCTTAATATCACAAAACGTCCCTAAGGTTTACGAAACTATCAGATTGCATCCT